TGTGTGTAACTCCGTTATCCCACTACATGTTCATTGGCATTAAAATCCTGCTATATGTTCATTGGCAAAACGTGGTCGATGTAGACCACATTTACAAGCCTTACAAGTTTGTTACAATTGTTCCGAGACACATGTATACCTCAGTTGATGCTTCGATGCCCATTTTCAAGTTGGGGCGAAAAGACTCCGGACTTCGGCTTTCGCGATTTACATAAAACATTCGCCTGCACAACGCATGCTTTCCAAAGAATTTTTAAGCTCAAATATTTCTCGCGAACACGCAATATGCCTCACATTTGGACAATCACATTATTTTAGACAGCGCCCCATAGCTAATACCAAAATTAGCCGGATAATGTCCGAAATTAACAGTTTATCGTAATTCTCACAGCTTTATATAAAATGTCACGTTAGCTAATGTGCGAATTAGGTGGGTAATTCGCGAATTAGCCATATTTCGAACTTAAGTTGTAACATATTCTCTATATATTAGCAGACGTCCTGCTTTCTCTCTCTCTTTCTTTCTCTCTCCCTCTCTCTCTAACTCTTTTTTCCTTTCTTCCCCTCATCTTTTTCCATCCATTTTCCCCCTGTTCCCTTTGTCTCTTTTCCTCTCTGTTTCCTTCTCTCTCCCTCTCGTTTCCTTCTCTCTTTTATCTCCCTCTTTCTCTTAGCTCGTCTCTCCATCCCGCACTGGTCGCTCCTGCTGTCCTTTACGGTCTTGCCCCGCGTCACACGGCAACCCCAGCAACAATGAGGCCCGGGTGGTTTGGGAATTGCATTTAATTAATGAATCATCTTGTGGTGCAGCGCCATCTAGTGGAGTTACAACAAAATGAACCACATAAAAACCTCCACGAAAAAACACGTAGATGTTCCAACTTTCTTGGAGATCGGTTAAACGGTGTCGGAATTTATCGATCTGAAACATTCCGACATTTATTTTTAGGTAAATAGATTTGTACGTATTCGGCATGTATCTTTTGCAAAAATTCTAGGAACTTAGATAGTAAAAATACTAAAATGTAACACACAACGTAATAAATGCAAAGGAAAATAAACTGAGCATTTCCAGGATTTTGTGTGTGTTTTACATGAATGTTTTCGCTCACATTTTTACACTTGAATTGCCAACGAGTTGACTTTGGTTGTACAGTGAGCGGAGAGTACTGTCCACGGAATAATTCACCTCGACCGCCGCCAGGGCGCACCGCGGTCGTCACACTGGAATCTCTCAACATGGAAGGTGCATGCAAGTGTAATTTAGTTCGGTGTAATTGACCATACAGCCACTGCCCCCTCTTTCCCTGTCATAGCCACGACCTCTAACTCCGCCGTCACCGCCGCCGCCCACAACCTCTTTCTCCACCGGCACACTGGACGAGAGGCACACGTGAGCATATGAGTACAGTGTAATGTACTACACTTCCACTGCCCCCTTCGCCCCTGTCATCTCCATGACTACCGCCGTCTCCACTGCTACTGACAACTAACCACCACCACCTGCCAAATCCTCCGCCGCAGCCGTCACCTCCACTCAACACTCCCAGCGCAGCACCTACATACACGCGAGCGAATACAGAGTAATTTACCACGCAGTCTCTCCCATCGCCATGTCCACCACCGCCGCCGCCGCCAGCCACAAACCACTACCGCCACTCGCCGCCTCCGCCTCCACTCCCGGCGCGCCAGGTGCATAAAAGCGCGAGCTGCGCGGCGGGCGGCACTCGTCGGCGCGGTTATGGCTTCGTCGCTTCGCTGCGCGCTGCTGGCGGCGCTGCTGGGCCTGGCGGCGGCGGCGGGGCCGCTCGGCCAAATCACGCGGGCCGCGGGGGCGGTGGGCGCGCCACTCGAGGAGGCCGTGCAGCCCGGTGAGTGCAGACGCACATTCACTTGCGGTATCTCCATATCATTCGAACAACACAACACTCGAATAAATTGATATTGTCGAACCTCCGAGTAGGACGACCTGGATGGCCGCGGTGGCTAGAGCGTGTGCCGGCCCAAAGGGTCGCAGTTCGAGGCCCGCAGTGGCCATCTTTGTTTGTGCCTTGCTTTTCATCTATGTGCGTAGTTGTGCAGTCTGCTGGCCACAGACCGACAAGCGCGCATGTTTATTTGGTATAAATTGTTAATATGCGTCCCTGTGAGGGGCATAGTGAGCAGCCAGCGCGGAATCTCCCGAAGCTGGAAAACCTCCAACTTATAAACGATTCAAATTACAAACAGAAAAATGTTATTTTGTATTCATAATCTATTTCGAATAAGTAATAGATCAACGGCATTCTTTTCAAGATAACTATTAATAAACTTTTTATTATTATAATTTGCATTTGTAAGATTAGTGTGTAGGTCATAACAACCCACATAGAGAGCTTTCAAAACACGAAAGAACATTTTGGTTTAAAGAGTTTAAGACGGTTACATAAAAATTAGAATAACTAGATGCCACTAAGAAAGATAATCCAAATGTTTGAGTACATCGCTGCGTGGACTACAATATTTTGAGGGTTATATTTTGCAGAGCCTTATTTTTTACCGACACCTCATATTTTATTTATATGAATGGAAAGCAGGTTCTCTTGTGCCTATGACAAAACACACAAGCCGTAGAAGCGCAAAAATGGTAAGAAGTAGGTGACTCAAGTCCTTTTGATGATTGAAACAATCATAGAAAGTGCATACAATGGGTATTTACAATATTCCATGCACATCTGAAAGGTTTTGTCCCAATACAGTGGAATTGATTAACATGCATTCATACCTACAATGGTTTCGCCGAAAACAAAGTATCTTCTCTATTAAATAGCAGATGTAGCCTTATTAGTTGGAAGCAATCTAAAATGTAGACTTGTGACAATCGTTGGTCTTACTTTCACCAGCCTCATTTGAGTAAAATATTGGCAATTTAAATATAGAACCAATTGTAGCCATCCTTATTTATGTTTTCTTTATTTCTGGATTTCTAAAGTGAACTGCGAAGTAGAAAACCATTTATGTTTTTATTGGGTCTTTTTACAGCTTTGGCTCGTTAACCTCATTACTCCGTAACGCATAAAACGTCATACTACTCGAATACGCCCGACACGCACAATCTGGAGCCAACTTGTCACTGACAAACAGCACGGGCGGCACACTCTTTCTACGCCAAAACACTCGAGGGACACACACACACACACACTAACGAGGGTACTCGACCCCGACACGCGTTCGGAAAACGCATCACTTCGGAATTGCTCTGAAGGAGTCCAACCACTTTCGAAACACGATTACGCGCACGAGCATTCAGGTTTCGGGCAACCACCTGCACTTAGCCCGGTCAGACAGGACGCCTTCCACCGACAGAGCTAGGATTTCTAACCCGGTCGATGCAGGAGAGATTGCGCTGGACAAAGCGGGTTTGGCGGTTATCACGAGATACTCCCGTTGCCCTCCGACTCTAATTCCTGCTTTTTAAAAAAAATATTTTCTTAAATTTAAGGTAGCATCAACATCGAGGACATTAACGAACACTATTGCTTTTAACGGTAACTGTGAAGGTGACGTGACATGGCGATGAAAGGACGAACACACATACAACCATGCCCGACGCGGGTCTGGAACACGCGATCCTTCGGTTCTAGGTCGCTACGGCACTACTGCCTGATCTCGGCCATCCGGACCGGCATTCCTGTGTTGTTGCATTACATTCTTATCATCCGAATGGCTAATTTCCAATTCTGCAGGATTATGCTGCTCTAGATACCCAGGAAAACCGGAAACCCAAAAGTCATGAAACAGTTTGGATGTGGCTGAAAAATGCAAATACTTAATTACGTTAATGTACCTATTCGCATTCTCCACTTCCTGACTCAGAGTGTCATGGCTTGCGAGAGAGCTGACGTCATGCAACGGCATTCAAACGTTGTGTTAGGAATCAACATTTTTCTTTCATATTCTTGGAATGTAAAGAACTGTATTAATGCAATAGTCGTGAACACCAGTTTTGTTAAACTACTTAATTTCTTGCATTTTTATAAGATATAATTTTATTTGTTTCTCATCAGCAGGGTTGATATCCTTTTTGGAAAACGATTTTTGGTGTTTTGTCAAGCAGCATATTTGAGCTGCAAGAAAGTATTATCATAATAATATATCCATCAAATCGTTGACACATTCCTGGTATGCTCCTTAATAACTAGGCACTGGCATCCCAATGAAGAACACTTATCTTGAACATGAGTAAAAACTGGGTTTCGTACGAGACACTTTAACCCATTGTGTGGTGGTCTGTGATGGTTGTGCCTGCTCCGAAGGGCAGAACGAATCGGACAAATCCGACACGTATCCCGAGCGTATGTGAGCCCCGAAGTTTTGACCACATGTACCAGTTGATTTATGTGGTTTACCCATGGTGTTACATGTTCTTATAACCCACGACCTATTATGTGAGATTAAGACCTACGTCTCGCCTTCTTCATGAGACCGCGCCTAGAATTTTTAATGACTAAAACTGGTATTCACGAGACTGTGGAGAGGTTTCATTCTAAGTTCCGCACATGTACAGCCAGTGGTCAACAGTCAGATTCTAAGGAATATAATGAATCAACAGAGACATTTTCGGAATAACTTACCTAAAACCGAATTCTTAAAGAGCCTTCCCAAGATACTGAAGGCTCGAACCATGCAAAAACACGCTCTCCACGATAAACATGTCAAGTTTTGTTCACAACAGATATACCGTTTGCAGGAATGATAATTTATCGCTACAGTGAATATTCATTGATATAATACAAGTTTCATGTAAAATAATGAACAATACCTGGAATACATTATTGTTAGGGTTTTATTGCAAAAATATTGTTTATCAATCGCTGAATTACCTGTAGACGTAGGATAACGATGAACGTTGATCAACAAAAACTAGTTAGAATTGCTTATTTACTTTAAAATACATTTGTTACGATTTATACATAAAGGTCAGGGAGAATTGCACAATATAAACATAATTCAAATTTCTAAAAGTTTTTGGTTTCCACGTATCTCTATTTCGTCTTGTTTCACGAGATAAATAAAGCCCATACGATTTAAAAAAAATATCGAAATATCTGCTAACACCAATCCATAACCAAACTTTAAATAATTATGTAGAAAAATGCACCCCGAATATGGTTCACAAGCCGACAAGGGCACGCACTTGGATAGTGTGTCAACGTGAAGAAATGATCACAGTTGGGTCAAGGAACTAGTGCCGGGTGGTATATTACGAGCGCAATGCCATTCCGACACGACAACTTTCACTTAATGGGATTCATGCAAAATGGACCTCTCCCATTGGAGCTCGAGTTACCACAGGATGCTCGGTTGCGTGCTTCCCGCATGGAAAAAGCACTAATGCTTCCCTGTTCAGGATGTAATTATGCATCCGGATAATGTTTTTATTTCTAAACAGGTCAGCACAAACGGTACTCATCACACACAAAAAGAAGATATATAAGCACTGGTGGATCAAATGAGCATTTCACAATAATTTTAGTCATAGATGTCAATTTCACTGCGCCATATAACAACAGCATGTCGTATTTATTATTTCATAACTAAAATATATTCTAAAAGGATGTAGATTAAAAAGAAATTTCACGAATGAAATATACAAATATTTCTTTCGTAGCTCAAATCTGTGGTCACGGGCTAAAAGTTCTTAAGTCAAAAACCATTCCCTACGCTTTTTTGTCGTTAAGGAAACATTTGAATTAGGTCGTTTTATTAAAAGGCAATGTGAATACTTAACTTGTCGTTTTACTACTTAACGCAATTTCGCCAAAAATTGACTTAAGAACTTTTACCCCGTGACCACAGAAATGTTATTCAAATAAAATTTTAAAAAAATCTTATCATGAAAAAAAATCGCTTCTTACAAAATGGGATGAGCCAGTGGCAAATTTTACAATTTCATGGAGTACGTTAAGGGACAGGAAAGAAACAAACAGGATTTACAGGTGCAATTTTCGATGAAAATTCGGAAAATGAGGCTTTTGTTTTGCACAGTTTACGCTTTTGTGGAGGTAAGAAAATTGTCGAAGTGACATTATATAATCTTGGTGTGTTTGCATTCTCTTTCAATACTACGATTTGCTTCTCAGAGAAAATAAACAAAGCAGACTCACACCTCAGCCTCGAAAACGTCGTTAATTGTTCTTAAAACATCCATGGTAAGTGTTTAGCACAAAGAAATAGAAGTAACAGTCAATCACTATTTTTTTCGATTTTGGAGATACAGCATTCTATTCCTACCGCCATTGAAGTCCACACAACTCTTTAAAAATGCACAGGTACATACGAATACCACCACTAAGAAGAAACTACTTGTAGTATCGTCTACCACGTTTACAATTGCGGATGTAAAACGGACTAGACCGGACGTACTTTGTAACTGCGTTAACACGTTCGCTCATAACTTAGTGATCCTTCAGGAACCGTATCGTGATCCATAAAACAACCGACATACTTCGTCACGAACGTGTTATTTGTGAAGGATTCGACCAAAACCTTAGTGCGTTTAACGTTGCATGTATTCAATGAACGGCATTAAAACATTTTTTCATTCTAGCGCTCGTAGTTTTTACTAATTTTTTTTACATAATGGCACTGGGCCAAGTATCGTGCGTGCGGTCTTTGTTTTCGTGAAGTTTTGGCGCGCGAGGAGCAAACAGGAAGGGGAAATGGCTCAAGGGCTTCCCGTTGCGGTGCCGCAACCGCGCGTTCGCGGGACGAGTTCCTCTCAGCCTTCGAGACCCACCATCAGCCCCTTTTGCCGTCCCGCTTGCGATTGTTCTTTTCGCAGGCTCTGCAAACATTGTGATTCAGTTTTAATAGCGACAGGATATACTTTTTTAACCGACACCAACTCAGACAGACTGCCAGTATCCGACATTTACTCTGAGAAATGTCAACGTATTCCACGATCCACAAAAATACTACTCTGATTACATGTAATAAACAAAAGGAAATGTAAACAATGATAAAAAATGTAAATCTTGTGACGCAAATTGTTGGCATTTTAACGTAATTGATTTTTTTTCAAAGTTCACAATGTAGACAATACCTCGGAGAAAACACTTTGGTTTAAAGGGTGTAAGCTGTAGATATGTTACTGATATTTTTAGAGCGCTTCTATAAAATAAAACAATGCAAAGGAAACTGCAAAAACAAGGAGTATCTTCGCGTCCGCAGTCCGAGCGAGGACAACTACCTAATTCTCACGAGGTGATGTGGTGGAAAAATCCCGCAAAACAAGTCGTTACGTAACATCACGCAAGCGAGAACACTACCTGTGCGTTTTAGCGATTACCCTTTTTCCAAACCGAACCGCCAACATCTGCGGTGAATGAAGTGTCGTGTTTATAATACGATACATGTTTATTATACGATGGGAAACAGGTTTTCACAACTCTTCAGCCCTTCGCTATGGGCCGATTTCGAGAACAGGTTCGCTCAGTCTGTGCACCCTAGTGACAACCGAAGTAGCAATCATCCCAAAATCCTAGTTCCATCATCCCAATACTTTTCGTGAAGGAAGTTCATAGATAATTTACCCAAAAAAAAAAGGAATTAGATACCACTGAGAGCTTCCATAAATAGCTCAGATGGCTGCGTTATAACCCGTTCTCCTTTAGAATGTGGGTTCGCAACCCGTGCAAAGCAGGAATGTTTTCACCCTGTGTCTGAGGTGTGGAAGGCCAAGGAAAACCACCGTATCGTTAATCGTTATTACTCATTTCATAATTGCCCAAGGATCACTTCTCCATACTTGGTTGCCAACATTCTACTAGAATAAGAAGAACTGGTGGAGGACGCACACTCACATCGGCGGCAGAACAAGAAACCACCATTACCTCCCAGTTACGCTCAACAGCGACGGAAATTTCCAATCCACGAACCTGTTCCACTTTTCTCCGAAATGCCCACATCCTTCCCGGGCGAGTTCTCCGCTGCCTCCAGAGGCGTCATTGCTGCTGCCTCGCATGGTAGGCACGGCACGGCACGGCAGCGAACCATTAAGGAGCCGCAAGAGCCTTCGTGCACACGACGAAGGCCACGGCGGTCGTGAAACTCGTTCTTTCGCTGTTTGCGCCCGGGAGCGGCGCCGAGTCTCAATGACCTCTGTGTTTAGGGAGGCTATGGACGGAACCGGTCCATTCGCTGGAAAAGACCGGCTCCTCGGGATTGTTTGCCTGCAACAAAAAAACAAAAAACGAACACTTAACGCCAGAATGGACATCTCTGCTACAAATCGGCTCTCGGAAGAAATTAAAAAGTACAGAAGAATTTTGTTTTTTTGACTTTTTGGAGAATTCGATTTTTGAATAAATTAGTATTCGCTTTAAATTAAACCATAAAGCATTATCTTATTTTGATGTGAATTTTCATGGTTATTTGTCTGCAAAATCGGTTCAAGATGGAGGATCGTTTGGAAATACTGCAAATAATCAGAACATACAGGCGTGGATCCACGGGGAGAGAAATAGAAATTTCTCCCTCTAAAAGTTTTCTGCAACAATTAATTTTCCCTTGTCACGAAACTTTCAAGCAAAAATATTTCCGGACAATCATTAAAACAAAATCGTATCACTGCATGAGATGAGTGTAGTATGCGACATTTTACAAGGTCTATTCAACCAAAAAATGTGTAATTTACCGTCCCAAAATTTGTCTCTGGATTCGCCTCTGGAACATGCTATAGTACTATCGATTATATTTTATTGCAACTGCGTAGCTACAGGACATACTTTGGTGCTATTTTGCAGATGAAAGAATCTATTAATCGTTTACGATAGCCACGTATTATTAAATCATTAATTATTTTCATTTCAGTTGGCCTTCATTGCCGCAAATGCGTGCGTATCAAAAATTATTCGTACCTCACATTCCACATCATATTAAATAGTGCGTTTTGCATTATTCATATGGAAAATCATAAGTATTTGACGTATGTTAATACATTACAACAGAAATATAATAAATTCACATGAAAATCAATCTGCTCAGCAGGATAACTACACGATGTACAACATAGATTGAACAGTACACTTTATTCCCTTTTAAATAATCTTTTATAACTTGTTAGTAGTATTATCCGACATTTATTACACAAATTTTACCTCTCAAAATTATTAAAATTCTAACTAATTCAATATTCATTTAATAAAGACACTAACTGCAACATACAGCAAGGATTGACTAATACAACAAGGGTATTTTAAATACGATTTATTAGCAATGATGAAGTAGCTTAACGGGTATTGGTCGAAATGTGAAAAAATTGAAATATTCATATTTACAGACATTTTAAAAAATATATTCCCTGTCACAGAGGCGCGACTAAACGGAACAACTTTTTATAGTTAGTACAGGAAATAAGAACAATATTTTACATTTAAATTATCACATATTATTACTATATAAATAAAATACAATGACAATAAACATATCGTATCATTTTCATTGCCAAACTTGTACAATGTTTATATTTAAATTTACATGTGCACATTGTAGTTTCAACTAGTTTCACACATTTTTTATTTACTCTATTTTAGTGCATTTATTGTTTTCCTCGTTTATTACTTCTAAAGAAGAGAACGTTATGTAATCGTACAGCGGTAAACAGCGAATTTTCGGAGAAAAAAATGTTAATGACCCTGGTAACGGAAAAATTGATAAATGTTGTTGCTATTTATATAGTAAATAACTTCCTCTACCAAGAAGTGTGCATCTGTTGCATCAAAAATATTGTATTAAAGGTCTTGAAGGATATCACTACGTGAGCACTACAAAAGACACAACAAAAGAAAGTATGTTTTTATTAAATACGAAGATTGAATTATTTCAAAACAATGTTACGTGATTGAAAAGAGAAATTGATAGTGATTTACTCCGCAACGCCCTCCTTTATCCTAACATTACAAGCACACAAATGTTTTCGAACCTATTTTGTCCCCATCCATACGTGTAACGCTAAACCGCTGCAGACACTCACAGGGAAGTAAAATATACGGAAACTGCATTTACCCGATGCAGAGATAGGCTCTTCCTGTATTCTATTCATAAACTCAACTGTTTAACAGTATCACAGCTCATCATTTGACTATTGTTTACAGTTATTCAGTGCGAGAACGTTCAAAAACGCTTATCAGGCGAAGACTGTTCTCTCAAATCTGGGAAATTGTTTTGTAGATAATACATATTAAGTGCCTTCAGTCAGTAGTACATTGTAATACAATTACCATCAATATAATGTATACAACCAAGTTTTCACAAAATGTTCGAAGTGAAGTGAACACAATCATAAAAATTAAACGTTTAAAAACAGCGCTCATTATTGTAGATCACTTCGTTCTGTGGGCATTAGTAGGCTTCCGATTTCATCGTACGCCAGCTGCATTTTTTTTCTTTCAAAAAATGCTTCAAATATTCCGATCACGATTGAAGATGCGTGCATTTGCATGTAGTTCGATTTTCTCCACACACGAGGATCATGAATCACGCATTCCGCGAGGAGCTCAGTATGCCAACAGGAGCAAGATCTGATTTCCGCTGATGCCTTTTAAATCCATGCACGTAGCTAATTCTTATTCCGAGACATCTTTTATCCGAGAAAGGCATGCGATGCAAAGCTGGCGACTTGGAATGGTGCCAAGGCCTCACCTTGATCCTCAGCGACATCTAAGTGTTCTCCGCGTCCGTAGGCGCAGTGCTGAAACTGTGAAATGCAAGTTCTTGGAAGAAAACCGCCTCTGCAGCGATCGTGCATGAACGGAGGTGGATAAATACGAGCAAACTAAGCACGTGTTTACAGCCGTAATTGAATAGGGGCCTGAAATAATTGCTCAAGCAAAACTTTATATTAGTTCCAAAATATGTAACAACATTTTATTAACGATACTTATCAAAGACCATTCATTGATTGTTATATTACAATTATAAAAGATAAAATTCATATTCAGATCCAGACATTGCAAGGCGTATTTTTTTGTAACTGATTACTATTTGCTTAGCAGAACGTTCATGTTTTCAGTTGCAAGGATGTTCTTAGAATTAATATGCTTCAAGAGAGATCAATTGAATTAAATCTTTGTTATTAAGATAATATAGTGATTTTACAGGACTCGATTATATGATTTTAGATTACACTACTTTCATTTTAATATTCATTTAGAATGCACAGGCTTACGCTCAATATTTTAATATTATTAGGGAGCACATTATGCGGCCAAGCTAATGATATTGATCCAAACCTGAGCATGGACTACAACGATGCCATGCTTCCCGGGAGGACTAACGGAGATGCTGTGACATCAGAAGTTCACTGTCACTCGCTGACTGAATTCATACACACTAAGAGCTACCGATACTTCAAATTTTCTTCCTGTCAGAGCTACAACACACTTATGGCATCGTTCTTTGCACGGACAATAATTAGAGATTAATTTTATACGATAAGAGTGTGACAACTATAACATCTGCCATATAGCGACCACTGTGATTGTTTCACCTGTAGGGCAAACTGTAAGGACATCAGGAACACACCCAAACAAACATACCCGAGGCGAGAATAATCGACCCTACGAGCCCAGGCAGCTTCGACCCTTCAGCCTTCAAGACCTCGACTATCTATGCATATAATAAGATAAAGCCGGCTGTCCCATGTTAGTAGATTTACTTGCATGTAAAAGATCCTCAAGCCAAATGAAGCCTCTGAGCTAAATTCAAATCGCCAGTTCGTTGCCCAAGAAATACCTCCTTTCTCTGCCAGTTGGTGAAAGGAACGTAGCGAAATTTGCGTGGTCAGGCGGAAGAGCGAGCCTCATGGCCTGAGTCTCACCACTTAAAATAAGGCATGAATTCGATTCAATTCAAGCCGCTCTCAATCCTAAATGTAGCTCCTCTTGAGCCATTCGTGGCAACAACGGTACCACCTCTGCACGCGACACACGAGTTCATTTTTTCTCTGTAATAGGAGAATGAAGGAGTGGTGCAGGTAGAGTGGATATAAAGATGTACGCAGTTTTTTCCTGACTCGGCTTTCCGTAAATGAAGGTTTTATTAGCGACACCACCTCCAACGGATCAATTAAAAAAACTATTTACGTCGGATTTTAAAACGTAAGCTCCATGTAATTCGTTTCAAGTTCATTAGTGTGAAAATTCATGAGACGCAGCAGTTGGGCTCACTTTATGGAGTTTCTCACTGGCAGATGATCGTTTTGTATGCAACTTCCTGTGCACACACATTTCCTTTTTCACGTGGGTTTTTCTCATAGCTTCCCTCTAATTGTGGTAGGATAAGATTTAAAGAATACAAAAAATATGAGAACAGCATGTTGAACGACGATAAATTTTAACGCTGGATGAGCACATGAGATACGTTTGAAATGAAGGTGCAGACATCTTTTATACTTTGAAACTGACAACTAATATTGAAGTTCAAGAGATATTCTTCATAAACCCCCGTGTATTGACGCACTTGTGTAATATTTCGAACTAATTTGAAAATATAAAGTACATTTCTTGTAAAATTATAGCACTAAAATCTGAAATGTATAGAGAGATGAGAAATTATTCGCTGCTATATTGTAGCAAGTTACTTAGATATTTGCCATCAAACATATTCTGCTTGTAAACGGGACAATGCTCAGACTTATATTTTGATATATTATTTCAGAAGATGGAACTTAATATGTGGAGAAAATAAAGCCGGGAGAACACAATTTTCTAAGTTACAACATAAAAAGGTCTGAATTGATAAAAATTGCATGTTGACTGCTATCAACTTAAATAAATCGATGAGTGTTTGGGATAGAATAACAGGGACCTTGAACTTCGTCGCAGCTCTAGTGGAGGATTAAAAACGACCACCTCGTTTTCTGAGTTTCTCGGCGATTCTCAAGTCGGTAGTGCCAAGGAGGGTGCAGTTGGGAGGTTGGTGGGAACCCCAAAATCGCGAATTTGTCCCAATGGGCTGTAGTTGGATAGTGGTTTCGCCGGTGCACCCACACCTGACTCAGAGGAAATTGAGGACGGAAACGGATTGTCCCTGAAAGCTGGTAGTCTCTATTTAAGGAGGAGCGAAAACGCCCTATCCAGGTTTCCAATTTAGCAAGAAAAATGCGTCGGGGAGGTCAAAAGGAGCCGCGTTCTGACGTAAATCCCGACTCCAATTCGAGAGGTGGGTTGCCCTGAGGAGGAGTATTGAGGATATGGCGACAGGAAGGCCGTAACCAGACACACACGACGTCGTGAAAACTCCGGGTACGAAATGCTTTATAAATTGATTGATATTTCTGGGCACGTCAACTGCTACGCACAATAATCCCGTTAATGTTGTGAATGATTTACCTCAGAAAGTGGCGGGTGGTTTATTTCTCAAACTATAAACGGTTTGGTAAAATGATATTTACATTATGTATTAATATTTTCAATAAGAAATTGCCTCACCTTGATACGAATCAAACATGTATCATTATATTTTAAAAACGATACTATTATACAATTTTTAACAGTTTCAATCTATAATATTTGGTCCCATTATTTTAGGCAATCATGAAAAAAAGACAATGATTTCAAATGAAAATGTAATTCTAAATACTATTTTACGTAGTAATTTTTGTCAATAATTTTGTGTGTGTGGATGGTCAAAGATATTTTATGCATGTTCATTAAAAAGGAATTTTACTTTCCTTTTAGTTCGCCCAACATAGTACTATGGACAATGTATATTGAATACTATAATCAAAATTTCCTGGTTTAATTTTGCCCTTTTTTATTAATTTTTATTTCTTTTTATTTGGAAGCTCTATACCTTATATTTAATTTTACATTGTATCCGCTACAATATTTTCTAAATATATTTGTAATCCTTTTACACTTATCCAGGAAGCGAGTCCGTCCGTGCGTCCGACCGTGCGTCCGCCTGTGTGTCCGTCCGTCCGTGCGTCCGTCCGTCCGTTGTCCGTCCGTGCGTGCGTCCGTCGTTCCTCAGGATACTTCTGGTCCAAGTAAGGCAAATGATGCGACTTCCTCTGCCGGCGGGGAATCGGAACGCGTTTTGGGTGACTCAGAGCAGCGAGGTGAACAGTCGCTGTTTTGATTCCACTCAACAAGACAAATTGAGACGATTCTTGGCCGTTTCCCACTAGCATACTTGGGAAGAGTTCTAGAAAAACATGTTTTTAATGGTTTTAATAGGTAAAAGTCTTTGGATTACTATACTCTTTCCGGATCATGACGATTTGATTCATTCGATTAAAGATAATTATTGTTAATTTTTTTGTTCATTACCACAATTAGTTCTAATTATAATAAAATCTATTTTTTTCATAAAACAATAAAAACAAGTATTTTAATAGATACTTCATTATGTAACATTCTACTCGTATGCTCCAAAATGGTTAAGTCGGGGAATTGTAATACCGTCCTAATTTTTAAAATTAATTTAAATTATGAACTTGCAGAGCAGGAATAATATGCAACTGGTTTAAAATGTTAAGCTTCATTGCAGGAGTATATGTTTTGAAAACGTTCTGCCTTAGGAGAGACTTTTCACATTTGTACGAATGAAATATAGCAACACTATAAACAAATTGCACACTTTATTTTTTGTATAACAGCATTATACATTTATAAGAGAATCAAGGTTAGTGTTTGGAATCAACTATATTGTGATGTCCGTGTATTTGACATTTGTGCGGAAAAAAACAAACAACAGTGGTCGGCTGTTCAATATACAACTATCGCGATTCTGTTGCTGTGATTTCCTGAATGTGTGATGACGCAGTTGTTCGTGCGATAAACGGCAAGTAACTCATAATCTGTGCCGTAAGATGCCATTTCGTGAGGGTTTTCGCGTAACGAAAAAGGTCGTTTATTATGCTGGAATGTATATTCTTTTAACCCGAATGTACCATTCGGAGGGCCACGCCGTGCTAGTACCGGATCTGAATGAACCGATGTAAGCACGGAGGCGTTGTGCGCAGAGGGCGCGTGCTTCGAGCGCCTGGGCTGCTTCACCACCGACGCCCCCTGGTGGTCCGTGCTGCGCCCCATCCCAGCGCCAGAGTCACCCGAGCAGATCGGCACGCGCTTCTACTTGTTCACCAGGTGAGCCAGCGCCTGCAGTCTTTCATCACGGCAAGTAGTGGTGACCTTTGTATTTGATCCTTGACCATTTGGAATGTATAATTCTTAACAACCTCTACCAAATATTGTAACTCAGCTTCTGAGCCTATGACCCCCATCTCGATGAGGCTTTTCGTCCAGTTTCCCTGATCCCTTGAGCAAATGCTAATATGGCCCCTTGTTTTACTTCTGGATATAAATGAAATTTCATTATCTCTACACGTCTTGTAGAGTTCAGTGGAAAATATAATTAGGCTCTATTCACATTATCGCTTTCCATATTGTCGCGGCAGAAGCATATTTCTTCACGAAGACATGGTGAGGGATAAGAACCCAAATCTATAGCTGATTTGCCAGTGAAAATAGATTTTATTACACCAGAGCGAATATTTTGTAAACAATTCTTTGCGAAAAATGTTCATTTATTTCTGTATTCTGAATTCAACTAAGGCATCTCAGAATTAAGAAAACGTGCTCAGATTACATTTCCCTCCAAAGCACGCCACACACAGTTTTTAAAATAAATACTAAAATAAAAGTCGACAAAGGGCGGGGCATCGGAGGATTTAACAGCAGCATCTGCCGCCAGGAAGCAGCCCCAGCGCACGCTCGTGCCCACGGTGCCCGAGGTGCAGCTGAACGGCGTGGACTTGGACGGCACGCGCCCCACCGTCTTCATCACTCACGGCTTCACCGGCGACAGCAACGCCACCTGGATGCTCCACATGAAGGACGCGCTGCTCCACAAGGTGCGCGCAGTCCCCCAATTGGTCCCGCGCGGGATGTGATTATCCACAAAGCAACGGGAATGTAACATCTAGTCAGTCGAATAAGTACAAAGATAAAGGTTTAACAACACAATGGTTATCTTTAATTCAATTACATTTAATTACTTATTCACCTCCAATGAGGATTTAATCCTTAAAATGAGTAACTTCTTCCAAGCTGAATTCATTTCATTAAGTTAAAACTACTACTACACATTACAAACTATAATTACAATCATCAATGTCAAATGGTACAAACTGGGCGATTAATTTGTAACAAGTCTGATAACCTTATGAGCAATGCTAAACTGAATACGGATAAGTTGAATTATACAGGAACATTATTTGTATAAGAATACATTATTCCATGTTTCTGGTAACACACTAATCTATTGCTCTGGTTGCAGGGGGACATGAACGTAATCCTGACCGACTGGGGTCCCGGCGCCGCAGGGCCACTCAAATACCTCCAGGTGGCGGCCAACACCAGGGTGGTGGGTGCCGAGATGGCCAGGTAGGCCCTGAATAGCAAACGAACTGTGTCAAAGGCCACACAAATGTTCATTTTATTGTTTGTTGTCTCAACAATCTCAAGCAATTTTTGTAAAATTCATGACCACAGATCAGAAAACTCACTATCGTATAGCAGAAAACGTATGGCACACGATACTGATATACCGTGTATTTGAAAATTAGTTTTAGTTAACTTAATACATAATATTAATTATGCCAACCGCTCCTTATTCTCAATAATAATAAAAAACAATAATAATAAGTGTAATAATAATATATGTAATCATAAATGTAATAATAATAATAATATATGTAATCATAATATTTAACGTTGTTTTCATTAATCGTGTTTCAGAACATTTTATGAAGAGTATCATAACATTTTGTTTTAATTTGAATGCTAGACGAACCCATCTTCTCAGGAGTATTTTATTTGTTTTAGGCTAGTTGAACACATGATTCAGAAACGCAATGTGGATCCTCAAAATGTTCATCTCATTGGCCACAGCCTTGGTGCTCATGTCTCTGCGTACTGTGGCAAGAAGGTCAAGAACATTGGAAAACTTACAGGTACGAATGCGATTTACGTACTGCAGTAAAATAATTGGTTTTGTATAAAATAAAAATAAATAAAGTGATTATATTTTTATAGTTATTAGTTACAGAAATAGGATCGTTTCGTACGTTGTATTTTCACAAATATGAGTATATCTGTAAATTGTATCGTTCAGGTAGTGTTAAAAATTCGTAATCAGTTGGAAAACTTTCGTCACGAAAACATTTACAACACGCATGTAAGTTTTCAAATACCGTGCCCTTCAACTCTTACGTTTAAAATTATGATTAAAAACCTCACTTACAAACTGACAAAGTCAGCATCAATAACAGCATATTTTTTTCATTTTACAATTGACAGCATTGAATAAGTGCTTTTTAAATATTCAGTTCTAGCATGTTATTTTAATGTATCTTTGGTACAACACTGATGACAAGTGACAATCATTTAACATTAAAAACTGTGCCTCCTAGAATAAAGGAGATATGTTCTCAGAAAACTACCAACTTGGGAATGCAAGTATGCCCATACTCATTTTCAAAGTACTATTGTATATGAGGATTTTCTTTGGGAGCAGTCGTATCAAGTAAATCTTACCCTTTCATCTTCACTTGCACCACTAAAATGTGTCACGGCCTCCAAGACTGCTCTCATTGTGATATTCAATAAACCGCTCCACGTGATGCAAGCACTGACTAAATAGAAATTGGGTAGCCGCAATTGTAATCCAAAATTTATATAATCCAATATCCAAGTAGAAATTAATTTTCTATTAATAGTTATCCAGTTCTGACGCAGCTCTGATTGCCAAAGCGAAATCTGAACCATGTAAAGCATGTCTAAGCAGGCAGGATCTTTCTGCCTCCATGCACACGAGTTTTGTCGGTTAACTAACCTTGCTTACATCTTCGCTGAACAACACGTTAAACATCTTAGATATTGTCATTTTTGAGTTAAGTGACAAAATATGTTTAAGTAAATAAGTTAACGTTTAAAGTAATATTTTTAAAGAAACCGTTTGAGCGCCCAAAAGTAAACCCATCGTCCGAAGGGAGGAGCTCGAAGCAGTGTGTGTGTCGGCAGCGCTGGACCCCGCGCAGCCTGCCTTCGAGGGCTACGACCGGGCGGTGCGCCTGGACGCCAGCGACGCGTCCTTCGTGGAGGTGGTGCACACCGACGCCAAGCCCGTCATCCCCCTTTTCGGCCTCGGCATGATCACGGAGCACGGTGAGTAGCGCCCGCTTCCTAGCCAACCATTGTGGTTTCTAACTCGATTACAACTAGTCAAACACGTCTTAATCGCTCAATAATTGTTACGGCAAAAATTGGCCGTTGAGAGATGTGGTCGCTTAATAAAAGCTACGTCAGTACTAATGGTGTTAATTGCTATGAAATAATGTATGTTCACATTTAAATCTTTGTACATTGAACTACGAAAATACACGGATCTGTGATCATTCGTCTCCGTTGGGTGAGTGTCAAACAGCTTCGACTACTCACTTATTCTCTTACATTAGAAGCTCCTCGTGAAACATTTTGTCGTCACCTAACCAAACTTACAAGCAAGCAAGGCTTGAAGAAGTAGATAATCCACATCTTGAACACACTATAGAACACGCGATTGGCCTTCATATCAAATTTACACATATAGTTCGCCGCGAGTTGGTGATAGGTTTTTGGAGAGCGGAGGAGCGGTTAGCAGAGGCGCGTGGGGCCAAAATCAACAAGAGGGGCCAATAACATTTCTATACCCGTTTTCCATTTATCAGATTTACTTACATATAAAATAGTTACGAGTCAATAAATAAAACATAAGATAATTAAATTATAACTTTTCCCTAAGGCATTTATCCAGTCGACTGTCCGTTACCCTTTACGTCTCGTTCGGACGCATATTCGACCGTACAATAGAGTAGTATAGTGCCAACGATATCACACCACAACACCTATACGTACAATACACACCAAACACACTTACGAGCTTCTCTCATCTGAGTCAGCAGAACGCAAGGACCTCTGCGATCACACAGACACATTTTTTTATTCAACGAATATTTACAATCTATTTCAAACTTGAAATAATAAGTAAATACTGTAGCAAATGAGTAACAATAACAAATAAAATAAAATGAAGAATGTTACCCATTTGTAATTTTCTCTTTCCTTTCAAATCTATCATAAACACATGATAAAATTACTATTACATTGTTACGAGTGTTAAAAATATGAAAATGTTAGAGAAAAAAACATTGATAAATATTAATTATTACAACACAGGGGAAGATGAAGAGATACACAAGATACAAGGGACAAACAAGGAAGGACTCGAACCCGAGTCCATTCGGACCGAAGCGCTAAGTCGGTACACGCTCTTAGCCACCTCGATCGGCAAATTATAACTTAAATTATACAATGAATAAATCATAATTATATACATTGTTTATAAAAAGTTATGGAAACATCCATTTTCTGCATGAACTACGCAATGTACTTCAGCAAATAAGGCGTTGTTTGAAAATTCGAAGTCCCTGATTACTACACATGTAACTTACATGTTTGTTTACGCTGTGTATATATTAATTATATATTTAAAGAACTCAAATATCAACATTGAGCACAATCTGGCGGAGGAGTATATAACCATTTTTGATGGTACCATGGAAGCGAAGTCGCAGCCAGTAGTTTTTGCGGTGTTAGATTGCGCAGTTCAGTGCAATTTGAAGTTGCACTTACGTTTTTCAATTTGCTTTCCACTGAATTTCGCAGTGAACACGGCAAAGTAAATCGGGCAGGAGTGGATGAGGCGAGGCCGCAAGAGGACAACAACTGTGGAAACACGCAGGGTGGGATTGGGTGTGTGGCAGGTCAGAACAGGA